TTACATAATAATGAAAACAAAATTACACCGTCAAGTCAGTCAAATCTACCAGAGTCCGTTTCATTTCGGTGCGGTCGTTAAGTCGGTTATGGCTGTTGTATTTAAATTGACGATGCACGCTAACCGTATCCGCTGCTGTAAGTCGGTTCGTATTGGTCGGTCAAGTTTTATTAGGGTCGGTAAAGCACGTCAGGAGCCGCACGCGATTTGTGGATGGCGGTATAAACAAGAATTGACAGGCGCGTATGCGCGCAGCTCGATACGAACGAATGCCACGGTAGAACCGGTTTACGAAGACGTTAACCGATTCAACTCGGTCCATGCTCAAACCGGTTTGAACCGGTTTGAAAAGTCGAGTCGTTACATCTCTAGTACCAACTATCTTCGCGTTTGGACTTTATCACCATTTAACATCAGGTGGGGTGAAGTTATTTGCATACTTGGCTATATAAAAAAAAATGTGTGTGTCAGCTCCGACGCACGACTGGAGTTTACTTCTTAAGTTCGATAGTGTTACCAGACGCAAAAAGAGTTTATTTAACTTAAAAAATATAAAAGATACTGTATGAAAGGGTAAATTAACAAATTAATGAAAATAATATATATTTATTCATTTCTTAAACATTAATTATAACTAAACTTTTACAATAGTCGATTTCAGATGTGCATAAATATATCATTAGGAATGTTGATAAATTATGTAATTATTATTTTCAGACTATTATCATTTTTTTAAGTATTAATTAAATCAACATTGTCTGCATTATTAATTAGAGTGACAAGTGGTTTATGGTAACTAAAATAAGACACATGGACGTTCGTAGATACGTGGTTCACGAATCTTGAAAATACCGCATCAATGGTTGTACCATATCTCGTTGTCCCCATTGCTCTATCAGAAACAATATCTAAATTCAGTTCAGATTTTAAAAAAAATATTAATGTCAATCCGTCATCTTTGTTTGTCAAAGTTGCGCGACATAGGATGCGCACCAAAAACGTAACGAGGTCATTCATCGATAGATTTTACTCCTCACATTTTTCTCATACCGAGCCCCTTAAATGTGAAAACGATTCTTAACCAGTAAACTCCAAAAAATAGCTGTGATCGTACGACTTACGATCTGTATTAGAGCACTTTTGAAGAAATCTTTATGTTAGAACTCATCGCCCGACAAGATCGCATCGTGGAATCATGTTATCGTACGATATAGCCACAGAACAGATTTTTTCTGTTCAGTGATCGTTGCCAATTAGGAAGACGCCTTATTAACGTGATGATTTCTTTTTCGTCAGATTGAGGGTGAGAGGTGTAAGAACGTGTTTGGAGCCCTCCAGTTCATCGAGTCGAAATGCGACAGTTTTCAATACTTGGGAGTGGACAAATACCTGACGGCCGTAGGCTTGGCCGTGTTGAGGGAGTACAGAGGCGCTAAGCTGGGAGCAAGGCTGTTAGCTGCTAGGTGAGTTAACTAGAGGATGTAGGTGTACTTACTTATTAGTGATGAGTCTCTCATACGTGAGGCGCCTCGTTTAGACAGAATGAGGGAAAACTCTTATTTCAACTTTGAACCACCTCATTTACCTCCAAATTTTCGTCGAGGGCGAGGGGCGAGTACATTTTACTTACTTTTAGTCACTGATGCTCACACATTAATTTCATACCTTTGAAGTGAGTGCGGTGGCGTTGTCAGGCGTACGATTTAAATCGTATTCATTTTATACGACTTAGGCCCGTATTACAGGATGACAATTAAGTGTTGATCTTTACTTGAGTATAGTTAGAAAGGGATGTCGCTATGTACTATATATAGCGACATCCCTTTCTAACTATGCTCAAGACTCATTGCTGTCCCTTTGCGCGCTCCGCCTCACCTCACCTCAAATGAGGCGCACCTGGCGTGTACCTCAGAGGTAAAATGAGGACCTCATTTTCTGAGGTTCTTCATCCTCAATCAAAAATAATACGAGTTACACATTGCCAATACTTAATTTTAGAGTTTGTAACTAAGTTCTGCCCATTTACATTTATTGTCTGCTATTTTTACTACTGCGGTCCTGACTTTAGTTTTTAGCTGAATATGCTCATTAGAAATTCGATCGAGCAATATAATTCCTTACATAGATCGCTACTTTGTTGCTCTGCCCTTATCATCATTATCAGCCTGTGTTTCCCCACTGCGAGAGCGATAGGGAAACCGGCCTTCCCAGAGGCGGCTTTAAGTCTGATGCAATTTGAACACGAGCGCAGTGGTCTCAGGGTCGTCGAGCGTCAATCGCCACCGTTACATTTGACGGCGCGCTTATTACTGGAAGGCGCTAGGTTGATAGGGATGATGACTTTCTTTTCTTCGTTTATCAGGTAGATTATCAAAAAGTATTTGACACGTATTTTTTCTTTTTTCACATAATATAAACATTGTGGAGATTTGAAAAGTCGCATGACGTCACGTTTTGGTACAATTTTCACTTAAAAGTGACGTCACGAACCCCTACTCCCAAACTTTGACGCGCTTTAGAAGAAAAAATACGTGTCCATTATTTTTTGATCATCTAACTGACGGACTTAATAGAATTTCGTTTACTTTACCCCGTCATCATGCCTATTGATTGCACACGAGAGCTACAAGTGCTAGAGACGCCTCTGGGCCTTCCCTATGATATTACGGATGGGAAAGGGAGATTGGACCATGACCTACTTTGCCAGGCGTCCGGATAAAACCGGACATAGTCAGGCTTTTTGATTGCGTGTCCGGCCAAAATAAACGGTGTCCGGCTTTTTACATTTCGCAAATGAGTGAGCGTCGAGCGTAGTTTAGAGCAAGCGACTTAACTGCCGGTCGCTTTTACATATTTTTTAGTCGTAACTAATATTACTGAGCCACATAATCCTGAATAATGTAGGGTGTCCGGCCTTTTTACCCAAATGTTTTATGTTGACGACCTGGCAACCCTTACCACGGCCCCACCACGAGGGCCCAGCGTGGGTTGGCGGGTGCTAACGACTGCAGATGCAGCCGGGACAAACAGCTTAACGTGCCTTCCAAAGCACAGAGAAGGTCGAGGCGATAAATTTGCGGTAATAAGTTAAAAAAATAATAGAAAAATAATAGTGAAGACCATTCTTTTGGGCATGCTAGTGCCGATTTCGTCGATGTCCTTTAGCACGTTAATCACTTGCGCCATCTAGCTCCTGCTTGTTCTACCAGGCCAGGGCCAATAATTTTTGAGAACAAAAAAAGAACAGGATGAAGCCCATTTCAAAAGGAATAGAATACATTATAAAAGATGCAAAAATAATACCGCAAATTATGTTAACTCTGTTATTTAACGTTTCCTTCCTTTTAAAATCCATTTCATCTTGTTCTGTTTTTGTTTTCACTTTAGGGCATCCGTCCTGGCCTATAATTTTATCTCTGTTTAAAACTCCCTACCCTACTACTTCTCTTTTGTTCCAGACAACCTTTGTGCAGATGCCTGGGCATCAAAGCCACGAAGACTGTATTCACAGGGCCGGCATCACAGGTGCATGCTGAACGATGCGGCTTCCAAACCCTGGCGCAGCAGACCTTCGCTGAGCTGGCGGACGGGGGCCTCAAGTATCCGAGAGACAACAGAACTATCAAGCTTATGGTCAAAAAATATGAATAAGACTGAATAATTTGTTTATTTATATTTTGAACATACAAGACCATAATAGTGTTGTGTTTTTTATTACTTACTAGCTGTGCCCCGCGGTGTTACCCGCGGTTTGTTATGGATACTATCCCGCAGTAAAACGTAGCCTATGTGTTAATCCAGGGTGTCAGCTAACTCCATACCAAATTTTATTAAAATCTCTCCAGCCGTTTAGACGTGAAGAAGTAACAAACATACACACTCACAAACTTTCGCATTATAATATTAATAAAGTGTAATAATAAAATTATTGTATTTTTATTAACTCGGTACCCAAAAAAGGGTATCGCTCAGACCCGGCAAACTATCGGCCAATAGCAGTCACCTCAGTATTATGTAAAGTTCTAGAAAAGGTCCTTAACAACCATCTGACCCGCTACCTAGAGGATCACTCCCTGTTTTTTTTTATGTTATAGGGGCACACGAGCAAACGGCTCACCTGATGGTAAGCGATCACCGTCGCCCATGTCAATATGGTTAAGCCTTCTCTCCAAGCTTCCGGCATACAGTCTGCCGGCCCATTGCTGTTCTTGGGTAGCTGACTTCCTGCATGAGCGTAGAATTCGTGTCCTAACGGATGGTAGCAGTTCGCGGTTCATGACAATGAATGCCAGCGTTCCCAAGGGCTCAATCCTATCCCCACTCTCTTTCTGCTGCATATCAATGATTTAATTCCTCTTGGGAATATTTATTGCTATGCAGACGATAGTACAGTGCGGCAACCAAGAAGAAACAGGAGAATCTTGTAATTGAACTCAATCAGGCTTTGGACCACATTTCCGAATGGGGTACCAAGAACTAGGTTGAAACCACAATATTTACACTAGAATAGGGGCTGGAAGACGGTGTCGGGTAACCAAAATTTATTACATATAGTCGGAAGCCCGAATACGAGTGCCAATGAAATTCAGGTAAACGACTAACCGAATTCGAGTAATGTCTCGTGTACGTTATCATTTACCTTGGTCTACATAAGAGGACTATTGGGAGTTTTGTTTTCCTGGCTAGACTAATAGGAACAGGGGATAAATAAGCCAAAAGGATTGCATAAAATTGGTACACTGTATAAGTGGACAGATTTTATGCAAACCTATTAGTTAATATTTCCTCAGTTTCTCTCGCTCTCTTCGCGCAATCACGCACATCAACGCGCGCGCCCATCTGAACTTAATCTTTATCTAAAAACATACACCAATGAAAATCTTGATCCCTTATTTATCATTTATTGTAACATTATAACTTATGACAAAAACATAGTAAAACAGTCACACACAACATTGACACGTGAAACCTAGGAACATTGGACAGGACAAACAGTGACATCACTCTTCTTCCACCTCCTCGTCGAACTCCCCCTCGTCGTCTGCCGTGGCGTCCTGGTACTGCTGGTACTCGGACACCAGGTCGTTCATGTTGCTTTCCGCCTCTGTGAACTCCATCTCGTCCATACCTTCCCCAGTGTACCAGTGGAGGAAAGCTTTCCGCCTGAACATCGCTGTAAACTGCTCAGAAATCCTTTTGAACAACTCTTGAATCGCCGTAGTGTTCCCTATAAACGTAGCGGACATCTTCAGGCCCCGAGGCGGGATATCGCACACGGCAGTCTTCACGTTATTCGGAATCCATTCAACGAAGTAACTGCTATTCTTGTTTTGAATGTTGAGCATTTGTTCGTCCACCTCCTTCATGGACATGCGACCGCGGAAGACGGCAGCGACTGTAAGGTAGCGACCGTGACGCGGGTCGCAAGCCGCCATCATATTCTTCGCGTCGAACATCTGCTGCGTCAGCTCGGGGACAGAAAGCGCGCGGTACTGCTGGCTGCCGCGCGACGTCAGCGGCGCGAATCCTGGCATAAAGAAGTGCAAGCGCGGAAACGGCACCATATTGACTGCCAACTTGCGCAGGTCCGCATTCAGCTGCCCAGGGAACCGTAGACAAGTCGTCACTCCAGACATCGTGGCTGACACCAAATGGTTCAAGTCGCCATACGTCGGTGTCGACAACTTCAACGTACGGAAACAGATGTCGTATAGCGCTTCGTTGTCTATACAGTAAGTCTCGTCAGTGTTCTCGACCAGTTGGTGCACAGATAACGTGGCATTGTACGGTTCTACGACTGTGTCAGATACTTTAGGACTAGGGACAACCGAAAATGTGTTCATTATGCGGTCTGGATACTCTTCCCTGATCTTGGATATCAGTAAAGTCCCCATGCCGGATCCGGTGCCACCTCCTAATGAATGAGTGAGTTGAAAGCCTTGGAGGCAGTCGCAGCCTTCTGCCTCTTTCCTGACTACGTCAAGCACGGAATCCACGAGTTCTGCTCCTTCGGTGTAATGACCTTTGGCCCAGTTGTTGCCTGCTCCGGATTGGCCGAATACAAAGTTGTCTGGTCTGAAAATCTGTCCGAAGGGCCCTGAGCGCACCGAGTCCATGGTGCCGGGCTCGAGGTCCACCAGCACGGCGCGGGGCACGTACTTGCCGCCCGACGCCTCGTTGTAGTAAACATTGATGCGCTCCAGCTGTAGGTCGGAGTCGCCCTGGTAGGCGCCTGTAGGGTCGATGCCATGCTCGTCGGAGATCACCTCCCAGAACTGAAAATAAATAGTAACTAAGTTATTTCATGATTAAATTTTATTTGAAGTGATACACCTTATTAGGGATAAATCCATTTTACGAGCACTTCCAAACTTTACAATGGAAATTATGCTCTACTTTTTAGGAATTATGTTAATATATAAGTATCTACTTAATAAAATTAATTATTATTTAATCGATAATGAGACGAAACTGAGCTATTACGTTGGTGGTATACAAATGAAAGCGCAGGGCACATTGGGAGCGTTCACTTTTATCTAAAAAGAAAAAAATGCCTTTTCGCATTTTATGATGCGAAATCATACGTAAACACTTCATTTGTTCCTAAAGTGGACTACGCAGAACAACAACCATAACGTACCTTAGCTCCGATCTGGTTTCCGCATTGCCCGGCCTGGATGTGGACGATTTCCCTCATTTTCGATGATACACACTTAATTTAGAGCCCAAAATAAAGATTGTTAGAATTTACGTTCCTCTAAACAGTCATATAAAAGGAAAAAAAATGTTTAACTAAGATTACTGATTCAACATCGTACACGGTACACGAAATTTTTCATAATGAGTGAAAATCTGTAGTCTTTTGTCAACCCACTGGGACATGCGTTCTAAATTTAAAAATTGACGTGCTTTCTTGTGGTACAAGAGATCATACTTTTTGCTGAAAACTTATTGATACTCTTTATGCAAAAAGAGCCTACCTTTGTCGATAAAATAGAGCAACATGGACACAGATGGGTGATAAATATCTTAGAATAACTAAAGGTTTTTATTAATTGATTTAGAAGCGTAGGACAGCATGTGGGTATTAACTATATAACCTTTCTAATAAATATTTTTTGACAATGCTTTTTTATAATGTCTGCTTACGATAAATAAAAACATTTAAGGAAATCAACAAGTAGCGCGTCGTGTTCCTCTAAAAAGAAAATTCTTTACTGTCTCAATAAAAATATTGTTTATTTGTGGATTTTAACAACATAATTTCACACAAATATAAATAACATTGTTAAATAAAATAAATAAACACACAAATGCTTAAGAGGCTTGATTGTCATCTTCTTCGTCTTCTTCTTCAGCCTCGCTTTCGTCGTCATTCAGAGTGGCATCTTGGTATTGCTGATATTCGCATATGAGATCATTCATATTGTTATCGGCCTCAGCGAATTCAGCTTCATCCATCCCCTCCCCAGTGTACCAATGAAGGAAAGCCTTCCTCCTAAACATTGAAGAGAACTGATCGGAGATTCTCTTGAACACTTCTTGTATCGCAGTCGTGTTACCAATGAACGTCGCTGACATCTTTAATCCTCTAGGAGGTATATCGCACACTGCTGTCTTGACGTTGCTGGGGATCCACTCGACGAAGAAATCTTTATTCTTCTTCTGTATGTTCAGCATTTGCTCATCGACCTCTTTCATAGACATTCGGCCACGGAACACCGCGGCCACAGTCAAATATCGGCCGCGGCGCGGATCACAAGCCGCCATCATGTTCTTCGAGTCGAACATCTGCTGAGTCAGCTCTGGCACAGTGAGGGCCCGGAACATCTGACTGCCGCGTGACGTCAGCGGCACAAAGCCAGGCATGAAGAAATGCAATCGCGGAAACGGCACCATGTTCACAGCCAACTTGCGCAAATCAGCGTTCAACTGTCCAGGGAACCTGAGGCACGTCGTCACTCCCGACATACACATCGAGACCAAATGATTCAAGTCTCCATAAGTCGGTGTCACCAATTTCAGTGTCCTAAAGCAGATGTCGTATAGAGCTTCGTTGTCTATGCAATAGGTCTGGTTCGTGTTTTCTATAAGTTGGTTGATTGACAAAGTCGAGTTGTATGGTTCTACGACCGTATCTGACACTTTTGGGCTCGGCACGATGGAGAAGGAGGCTAAAATCCTATCTGGATACTCCTCGACTAAATTAGAAAGTAACAAGGTACCTAAACCAGAGCCAGTGCCGCCGCCGAGAGAATGCACGAGTTGGAACCCTTGGAGACAGTCGCACCCTTCAGCTTCTTTCCTGGCAACGTCCAAGATAGCTTCGAGTATGTCAGCGCCTTCGCTGAAGTGTCCTTTTGCCCAGTTATTGCCAGCACCGGAATCTCCATATACTATGTTGTCGGGACGGAAGATTCTTCCAAAGGGGCCCGCTCGGACACTGTCCATAGTGCTCGGTTCAAGATCTACAAGGACCGCGCGTGGTACATATTTGCAATTCGTACCCTCGCTATAGTAAACGTTGATGCGCTCGAGTTGGAGGTCGGAGTCGCCTTGGTAGCAACCGTCTGGATCTATGCCGTGCTCATCCGATATCACTTCCCAGAACTGAAACAATATTTAACACTTATTTAAATATGTTTTAATGAATTTTATCGGAGCTCTGACTATGAGAAATAGTTATTGAAAAAATACCATATAGAATTAAAGATACTATTAAAGTTATATTTTTATTTTTTAAGCATTTAACTGCTAGATGTTTTAATCTAAAGAAAACTTTGTTTAAAAAAAAACTCCATTTGTGGGTTACCTACAATGCAAGAAAATGGCGCTACCTTGTAGCCTAAGAAATGCTATAATAGAGAAAAATCGAGATTTCCAATTAGGGCTGCGGTAGCATAATGGTCAATGCATCTGCCCAGATAGCCGTGTGGTCCGCATGATTATTTTCATAATAATTCTTTAGAATGAATATTAGTCAGTTTTTTTAACTTTGTGTTAAAACTGTTGAACATAAATGATGCGTATATTCTCACCTTACCACCAATCTGGTTCCCGCATCTTCCAACCTGTACGTGAACTATTTCCCTCATTTTTTCTTACAATCAACTTAGAATTTATAATATGAAAGTAATAAAAAAATACAAATTCAATGTAAAAATTAATAGGTACTTACTGCCTATAAAGAAAAGACAAAAAATAAAAAATTAATGCCTACATCTACTTAGTACTATAAAAATTATAAAAGAATTGCGAACTAAACCTATTGCATGGCCATTGAGATTAGATCTACGACTTCGCAAGTGTTTTAAAACAGGTTGGCTTTGAAAACGAAAACGCTTTTAATATAGATATAGACCCAGGGAACTCCGTACCGCCATAAAATAGAGGCTGGTGGTAGAAGTGAAAATTTTGGATTGGATGTATTTTTTAATGCCACATTATAAAAAAATATGTTAGGGGTAGACAACCCTTATCATTTAGGGGTATGAAAAATAGGTAGTAGCCGATCCTCAGACCTATTGAATATGCATATAAAATTTCATAATAATCGGTTAAGCCGTTTCGGGGGAGTATGGTAACTAACATTGTAACTTTATATATAAGATAGAAAACTGTTCGAGGTTTTCTATACCATTTAAAACAAAATAGGGCCCATTTCGTCTTTACAATAATTTTTATTACTAAAGTTCGGACAATCTTCCTTTATAAACCTACATGATTTAAATAAGAGATTTATAAATTTAATTAACAATACAAAAATGAATTCCTTTCTATTTATATCTATATATAGAACCGAACCCGAATAATATTTTTTATATGTAATCATAAGTATATTAGAATAAAACACCGATTCTGATCAATTAAATTTAATAAATAAAATCACAATTCTTAATAATTTTATTGCTGCACATCATTTAAAAAATATATTTATAAAATGCACACATTTTATAGAAAAGTAAAATGAAAATTCTCTTTTACATTCTGTAAAAGTACATAATACACCTGCAAGGAAAAACTCAGTCTATGGAAAAACAGCTACAATGATATTCTTACATGGAATATTAAAATTATTGTAACTTTTGATATAAGTTATTTGTGTATCTGTATGATAATTTCTGTTTATTGGAATTTTCGAGATAGTTTGACATTAGGATTTAATGAATATAAGCAGTTAATTTTACACTGTAGGCCTCCCTGTAGTTACTAAAAGTGAGTTACGATGTTTTTCCTTGCAGGTGTCGATATGTACTTGTATATTATAAACATTTTATAAGAAAACAAAAAATGTACTTCTCTCGTCTTAAACATTTCAATGAGTAAGTACAAAAATATGAAAATAATTTGCTATTATCACTAATTTTACGAACATGTTGAAATAACACTCAATTATAAAAATTCGTATGAAACAGCCGTATTGTATTATTGAAAATTCACAACTTCACAATTTATTGCGTGCGCTGACAGGGGAGTTTAGTCCGCGGACTTTGTCCGCCAAAATAGTTCGCTTAAAACTGCATCAAGTAATGCACACGAGGCATCAAAATCAAATTAAAAGTACGGGGAAGTCCCTGAAAAAAATAGAACTGATGTGACAATACGCAGCAATCATCATCATCATCATCAGCCTATTAATGTCCCCTCTGCTGGGGCACTGGCTACCCCTATGGATGGAATTTGCGCCAAGACCCACCAAAGTTGCTTAAGTTCAACAAACGCAGCCGAACGCGCTAACCACTTGCGTCATCGAGCTCCTCACAACGTAAAATTTGAATATTTGCTTCCACACGCTTCTCTGAATAACCGGATAACAAATGTTAGCACACCGTGTGTGTTGAGTGCGTGGCAAGTTCTCGCCGGACATTTTTTCACGATTCAGGGATTTTCGTGCTCTACAGACTGAAATCCCTCGTCTGCGCACGCGTTTAACGTATAAAAGGTCATTGTATATCCGGAAAATATTTACGTTAAGTGGTATTGCTTAACATTAATAATTACACATAGTGGGATATCAAACCGTGATCTGTCACACTTCCACCAAATACACTGCCGGTAACATCTATCGACTCATCTAGCATGGAAAGTTTTGACGGTCCGTACCTAAAAATAAGAAATAAATATTTCCAACTAATTAGCCTAGCCCCAAAGAAAGCACATGTTACGGGATACTAGGGTAACGGATACGATACATATATTGTACATATATAAGTATATTTATATAGAAATACATATTAAATAAATAAATATTTCCAACAGTCACACCAATAAGCCTAGCCCCAAAGTAAGCACTGTAAGGCTTGTGTTATGGGATACTAGGGTAACGGATAGAATACATATATTGTACATATGTAAGTATATTTATATAGAAATACATATTAAACATCCATGACTGGAGTACAAATACTCGTATTCGTCACACAAACATCTGCCCCCACAGGGATTCGAAATTGGGGCCTCTAGAGGCGGCGACACCATGAAACCCGGCGTATAAACCACTCGGCCACGGAGGTCGTCATGAATTCATGACTGGAGCTGGGATGTTACGGAGCTTCGACTCCGTTAAGTCGGTACTTCCGATTATTATTACACCTTCGGTTCCGACATCGGCTCCGACACTTTTAAATCAGAGGTTTTAAAGAGGTTCCGATAAATTTACCTCCATCAAGTTACATCCCTGGACTGAAGTATACCAAATGTTCGTATTCATCACACAAACATCTGCCCCCACCGGGATTCGAACCCGGGAGGCCTCTCGAGTCGGCGACACCATAAAACCTCGTAAAATAAATGTTACATTGAGCAAAAAGTTATTACCCACGCAGTTTTTGAGTAGATTTGACTTAATAACCATCTTTTCGTGTTTTTAATATTAGTACCCAACCCAGTCCATAATGCCCTCCACACCGCCAAAGACAGGAACAGATGGAAATCCATCATACGGAAGAAAGTGATGCAGAAGGGTTGTCACAACCTTCTATAATGAGGAATGCGACTCAAGGAGGAGGAGGACCCAACCCTACCGACCGTCAAAACTTATAACACTAAGTGGGCCGATAGATGTGTCTGGGAGTTTACATAAAAGTTCACTTTGGTGGATATAATTTGACACTAACAGCACCCTTATTACTTAGTAATAAGAGCTATTTTCGTATAGTATCAATCGTACTCAAAATCGGCCAACGCAACGGTACCAACGTTGCGAAAGTTCCGATAAAATTACATAATAACTATTTTTAACTATACTTTCGACTAGAATATGGAAGATATTATGTTGAAGCGACATTTTAAGGTGCACAATTATGTCTATGTCTTAATATTAGATGTACCTTCAAATTAGAAGCATGAAAAAATTATGGCCCTTTTAAATAATTTTAGATTTTTTTTATTTTCGTCAATCAAGTCATAGTTCATTGTACAGGGATTGTGTAGATAATTAAAAGTACTTTTCTTTTAATTCTTTCTTGGGTTTTCACGCACTCCACTTATCAAATAAAACAAAGCTTAAAGCTGTGTTTTATTTTATTTTTTTATGCTTGAGTTTAAATAAATCGATAAATCTTTTTTTACAAATTGTCCTATTAATAGATTACCATAACTAATTTTTTCCTGCGTCAAATTTGAAGGCGAGCAACATAATTGAAAACATTGACTAGCTTCCGTTAGCATTATAGCACAAATCACTGGTCCTACAATGAATATTGTTCTTATAATAACACCTAACACAAATTCACATCATAAAATTTCTTCCACTCAATGTAAACTCATGATATGTTTTAGTAATTATTGAATCATTGCAATTTCAAAACTAGCAAATAATGGAGCAATGTAATTTTTAATCAATTTCAACCTTATAACAAGGATATAAGATATAAAGGTACAAGTCCGAACTGAACCGCAGACCACAGGCCGCAGCTACAGACTGCAGGCGACACTACTAGTTTCTATGAATCTCTATGAAATTGATTCCGAGAGCGGCGACATGACGCGGCTGCACAATGCATATAATGCAAGGTCAGCCGCAGTGTTGCCTGCGGTTGTCGCCTGCAGCCCATTGCGGAATTGTACCTTTAATGTTTTAACTGAAGATTTTTTGGGAATAAAATACATAGTCTGTCCTAAGTGCCTAAGCTGTAAGCCTGAAACAATAGTAAGAATACTATGCGCCATGTGTAAGTCTATGTGCTGAGACTGTAATAGGTTCTCTGAAAATACCCTGTCTAAATTATGGAGCAATTCATTCACATTCGAGAGCATTGTATAAGGTAAACATATCATAATATTGTCGATTGCATACAAATAGTCGAAATGCTGTTAACATACATTCTTATGTTATCGATATATAATATAATGAATAAAATCATCATATTATAACGATAGATTCGTATTTAGTTTTTCGAAAACATCTTGTACGCGACGACCGAAGCGAGAGAAAATGAACTTACGACGATACGAGAACAATGTATAAAAATGTATCTATAATTTCACATGAATTAGTTGTATACGCATTAAAAATATCATTCCCTTGTTGTCTTATTAGAATGAGTCGGATATCGCAACAATAGATAGCTCTGCCCATAGTAAACCATTGTAAAATTGATAGTTCAGAGCGATATTCCGCCCCGTTCTCTCCAATAATCTTATAAGACTTTATCTAAACGATCGCCACGACGCCAAGCGGTGGCGCGGGGAAACTAGTCAGAATACTGATAGTTCCGACCTATAGGAGGGACGGAGACAATAGGTTGTCCTTGTCACACGTCTTATAGGATTTTGCCTGAGTTGACAATTTTCGATAATAGTATGTTTTATGTTTTGATTGATTTATTTTATGTCTTATTAGATAGTAGGTAGTTATAGGAATAATATATCGAAGTTTTGTATGAATCGTGTTAGTAGTTTAAGCGTAATTAAGGAAAATATCGGGAATAGTTTTTTATGAATAGTCAATAGGATATAGGTATAATTGTTATAATAATGATGTCATTTTATGTGTTTTTACTTCTTCTTTAAAATGGTGTATGATAGTTAAACATTAAGCGAGTATAAGTAGGTTTTTTAAGACTTTTTAATTTGCAAACTTTATAGGGCCGTA